CGATGTCGGCTCTTCCTATCATTGTGAAGCAGAATTCACCAAGTGTTGGATTGTTCACCCACCAATAGGGAACGTGAGCTGGGTTTAGACCGTCGTGAGACAGGTTAGTTTTACCCTACTGATGCCCGCGTCGCGATAGTAATTCAACCTAGTACGAGAGGAACCGTTGATTCGCACAATTGGTCATCGCGCTTGGTTGAAAAGCCAGTGGCGCGAAGCTACCGTGCGCTGGATTATGACTGAACGCCTCTAAGTCAGAATCCGGGCTAGAAGCGACGCATGCGCCCGCCGCCCGATTGCCGACCCTCAGTAGGAGCTTCGGCTCCCAAAGGCACGTGTCGTTGGCTAAGTCCGTTCGGCGGAAGCGCCGTTCGGACCGCCTTGAATTATAATTACCACCGAGCGGCGGGTAGAATCCTTTGCAGACGACTTAAATACGCGACGGGGTATTGTAAGTGGCAGAGTGGCCTTGTCGCCACGATCCACTGAGATTCAGCCCTTTGTCGCTAAGATTCGACCCTCCCCATCTCAGTCCGAGTATCTCCTCGTATGTTCCTCCCAAAATCAAATCAGTCATTCCTCACGTTTTCATGTCTTTACAAACTCAGACCGAGAGGTTCGGTAAAAACACTTAGAAAAATTTCGAGTGAAAATTTTGGAATGCATGAAGTCCGTGGCCCGGCCTGGCCGGGACGATTCTATGCATGCATCGGCCGTGGAAACAGAGAAAACGGGGAAATTTGAGAATGAGTTGAAGAATACAAAAGAGCTAAAAATAAGAAAGGGGATGCAAGACCGGTGGAGTCGAACTCGGGTTGCGTGACTAAGGAACGTAGTAATAAACCACAAACCTACGTAGATGCTCAAACTTAAGAGTTACACAAAGCAATCCGTGGACATAAAAATAGTCGAGTATATGGAGATCCGATCACATGGGCATGAAACTATAGAAATATATAAGAACACTGATGTGTTCAAATCCCCAATTCATGAGAGAATGGTACATGAAATCGCCACTTAAAACATAAAAATGGCCAAAAACACACAAATAAAAATCCGAATGGCAAAAAGAGGCCGACGGCCGCTGCGCAGCCGCCCACCCTAGGCCTCGAAAAATCGAGCGGATCAAAAAAAAAAAATCCAGAAACGGATAACTCTAGCAAAAGTTAACGCCTTTTGAAATTCGGCAGATCCCATTCACTATCCTATTTCAGGACGTGGGGAGGAAGGGAGGAAGGAAGGATGAAGAACAAGCTTTCCTTAAGTGGCTTTTAAAAAATTACAACTCATAAACACACTTTTGGACATATTACGATTTATGCCTTTCCTTAATGGGCTGGTCTTGGGATGGGTCGTACAGCGGGATGGGAAGGGTTGCGATCGTGGGATCGGTGGTGCACCACCGTCCGTTGACTGGCGGGCATGGTTCTCTCGGCGGAGAAAAACTAAGGGACCGTTCGGATTTGAAAAATGGTCGATCATTTGTCGAGTTTCCACATTCAAACCTGCCAAAATCGTGATTGGAAGGTTTCCAGAGTGGCCAGAACTGAAAAGATCGAGAAAAAAATATTTGGTCGACCGTACGGTCGGAACCGTCGGCCATCGGACGGACTGGCGTGCATGATTTCTCGGCCAAAACGCATTTCACCGGTCGGATTCGATTTTCGGTCGGTCGTTTCCCGATTTTCCACGCCCGAGCCTCGTAATATCGTGGTTACAAGGTTGTCAGAGTGGGTGGAAATGAAAAAATCGAAAAAACAATTTTGGTCGACCGTACGGTCGGAATCGTCGGCCATCGGACGGGCTGGCGCGCATTTTCGTCGGCCAGAACACTTGTCACCGTACTGATTCGATTTTTCTCCGGCCGTTTTCAGATTTTCCACGATAAAAACTCTCAAAATCGTGGTTAGAAGGTTTTCAGAGTGGGAGAAAATGAAAAGATCGAGAAAAAAATATTTGGTCGACCGTACGGTCGGAACCGTCGGCCATCGGACGGACTGGCGCGCATTTTCGTCGGCCATCTGACGGACTGGCGCGCATTTTCGTCGGCCATCGGACGGACTGGCGCGCATTTTCGTCGGCCAGAACTCATGTAACCGTACTGATTCGATTTTTCTCGGTCCGTTTTCAGATTTTCCACGATAAAAACTCTTAAAATCGTGGTTAGAAGGTTTTCAGAGTGGGAGAAAATGAAAAAAATCGAAAAACAAATTTTGATCGACCGTACGGTCGGAACCGTCGGCCATCGGACGGACTGGCGCGCATTTTCGTCGGCCAGAACACATGTCACCGTACTGATTCGATTTTTCTCCGTCCGTTTTCAGATTTTCCACGATAAAAACTCTTAAGATCGTGGTTAGAAGGTTTTCAGAGTGGGAGAAAATGAAAAAATCGAAAAAAAAATTATGATCGACCGTACGGTCAGAACCGTCGGCCATCGGACGGACTGACGCGCATTTTCGTCGGCCATCGGACGGACTGGCGCGCATTTTCGTCGGCCAGAACACATGTCACCGTACTGATTCGATTTTTCTCCGTCCGTTTTCAGATTTTCCACGATAAAAACTCTTAAAATCGTGGTTAGAAGGTTTTCAGAGTGGGAGAAAATGAAAAAAATCGAAAAAAAAAATTATGATCGACCGTACGGTCAGAACCGTCGGCCATCGGACGGACTGACGCGCATTTTCGTCGGCCATCGGACGGACTGGCGCGCATTTTCGTCGGCCAGAACACTTGTCACCGTACTGATTCGATTTTTCTCCGTCCGTTTTCCGGTTTTCCACGATCAAAACTCTTAAAATAGACCAATAAAGAGTTTAGAATGACACTGGACACTCAAAAGCTCCCGAGGACCTCGGGCTGGACCGGGATCATCCGAGTTTGCTAAATTACAAAAGAAATAGTTAGAGTGCTCAGAAAATTCTGAAATTTTTACTGGAAGTAGTTTATATCACCCTTATGAAGCACGCAAAAAATCAGATTAAAATTCCATGTAGTTTTTTTTCTAGACCCCCAGTGACTGCTCAGACATTTCAATGTATACTGGTGGAAATCCCAAAAATGGCATAAGGTATATA